ATGGACAGCTCGGAATCAATTAGACGATTTGGACATTGCAGACTTTGCAGACCTAGCCCTCCTATCGCATACACACGAACAGATGCAGACAAAGACAGCCAGTGTAGCAACAGTCTCTGCATCAGTAGGCCTCAACATACAGAAAGGGAAAACCAAGGTCCGCAAATTCAAAGCGGAGAACAGCAATCCAATCACTCTTGATGGCGAAACTCTGGAAGATGTAGAATCCTCCACATACCTAGGAAGCATCATCGATGAACAAGGAGGACCAGATGCAGACGTAAAGGCAAGGATTGGCAAAGCAAGGGTCGCATTCCTACAGTTGAAGAACATATGGAACTCAAAACAACTTTCAACCAATATGAAAGTGAGAATCTTCAATTCGAACGTCATGGCAGTTCTACTGTATCAAGCTGAAACTTGGAGAAATACACAACCACCATCAAGAAAGTACAAGTATTTATAAATAGCTGTCTACGCAAAATACTCAACGTCCATTGGCCGGATGCCGTCAGCAACAGCCTTTTGTGGGAGAGAACAAACCAGCTTCCAGTTGAAGAGGAAATTTGGAATAGACGATGGAAATGGATAGGACACACATTGAGGAAATCACCAAACCGCATTGTGAGGCAAGCCCTAACTTGTAATCCTGAAGGGAAGCGGAAAAGAGGAAGGCCGAAGAACACATTACGTCGGATAATAGAAGCAGATATGAAAAGGATGAACGACAACTGGAAGGAGCTGGAAAGGATTGCTCAGGATAGGGTTGGATGGCGAATGCTGGTGAGCGGCCTATGTTCCTTCATGAGGAGTAACAGGCGTTGGTAAGTAAGTAAGTAACTCCTGCCTAAGGAATTCCAATCCAAATGTTCTCATTCGGTAATTACGTTGTTCATGACTCCTACCCATCTTTCCTCGTTACGATATGAGCTTCGCACAGTCTAAACGTCTCATAATCAGAGAGATCCTGAGGCGCTTGGACGCGCATAAATCTGCTGACTCTGGTATTTCACCCAGAGTCCCTAATGAATATGAAAACTTTGATTACTTCCCTCTTGCTACTTTCATCAAGTATTTCTAAGGTATTGGTAAACCACCCTCTAACTGAAAGAATGTGAGTCGTGTCTGTAAATAAAGAGGGTAACATACGGGAAGAGTCCAGTTACCAACTGATTTCCTTGCTCTCGGCAGTAGCGAAGGTCACGGAAAAAGTTAATAACATGCCACTCCTCGAATAAATTCAAGCCGACTCCATTTTTTCTGCGTAAAAAGGTTTCGTATCCGGAAAACCACCTTGGATGGCCAGTCCACGTAACAGGAACTCAATCTTTCAGAGAAAACTGTCTTTTAAGACTTTTTCGAGATGTTAGAGAGGGTTGACCACTGGATTCTACTTCACGAATTAGATTCCAAAGGTATAAGTGTGTCTGATGACATGGATCTCAAAATACGTAACTAGGAGATTAAAATATGCCAAATTTTTATAACTCTGTTGGACTGGTTTTCTATGCCACATAGGAAGCCTTTAAGACTCAATCCTTGGATCATTCTTCTTCTAATTATGCATCAATTTCCCTCCCAACTCTTCAGACTGTCAAATTATACAGCACGCAGATAGTTTTAAGACATAGGGTGAACAACTTGACACAAGTGGTACTCTGATCTTCCAAGAGGACTGATAAGGAGCAACTGGAATACCAAAAACGTTTCACGCAGTATTAAGAAACACAAAGTCCCAAGGATGATACTGTAGGCGCGTCTTCCCATTAGCAATCTGCAACCAGTAAAGCATACTCACTCTTGAGGTTTTTTTACTAGAACAGGTGGTTGCCTAACTTCTGGGTCATTACCTTTAGTGTCTACTTCAGACACCATGCAGAAAATACTCCGACGCTATGGCTCCTTACCCTGAGAAGAGCGTTTCTTTCACTGAATGTGCAAAAAAAGAACGAATAAAAAAGCAAAGTTAAAAATAAAGTATGATTAGCTCTCACTGCAAACTCCCAACTTACAGCCAGTTAAGCATCAGAGAACTGGAAGGACGAGTCCATGATGCACCACACTACTCACAGTTCGCGCTACGTGAACAGTCCACTGATACGTTTAAGGAAGTCAGTATGTGGTACTTAAAAAGTAACCACTCAAGTGTAAACACAAAAGAGATTAAAGTCTGTGGTTTGAATAGGTAAGTTTCGGAACTCCCTGGCAAAAGCTACGGTGGTGTTATTCTTCGCTTAATTTTTCAAATGAAAGCTAAACGATTACTTTAGCACTGCAAGTACTACGGGAGACAACTCAAAGTGTTACTTTTCGATCCCTTATATTGTTAGTTGAACTGTTTAACCCCACAGTTTCCGAAAGGAATATGCCAAGAAGCGTACTCTACACTCACCAATTACACATTCCAACCATCCAGATACAGATCCAAGGAAACGAATATTTCACAGATTCTGCCAAAGAAAGTTGAGGCTGAGTGATAGCCACAAACAGCGCCCGTCTAGTTGATAATTCTTTGGTAGGCTGATACTCTGCGTCACAGACTACTTCTCCAAATTCGTAAAGTAAGACTATATTTAATATTGGCGTAGTTGGAAATTGCTGATCTCATCGAATCTTAGTAGTTTGCTCAAATCAAACGACTCTGATAAAAAAACAATCAAAGAGCTCCCAGTAATTATAGGGCAGGAAATGACAAAAAGATTGAAAGTCTTAAACTCATATTTCAAGGAAGTCAAATCCGTCCGTAGTTTAATTATTTAGGATCAAGCGGGATCAAAAGAAAATGATCCTGCTGAAAGGCATGTACACGATTTAGATTTAGTTGAATCTGCAACCAAAAATGTACTGTCAGGAGAAGTTTCAGGGGCATATATCACTAAATTAGTAAGACTAAGTGAGTTGTAGGAGAATCCCAAACAAGAAGGATTTTGAATTCAGTATTCGGAAGTTATGAAGAAAAAGATGTTTTACTAAATAACGCATGTAATACTCATAATTCGAATATTCTTATTCAACCAGATTAGTTACTTGGGGATCCGGCCAGGCGGAAGAGTGCCATTACTGAGTTAAAAACTCGATGGCGAAATGGCAAAACAAACCTTGAGATACAGGATTTTCGGGTTGTTAGGTCTTGGAAGCAAGTGCTTCCGGGATATGAGTGGGTAGAACGAGCGACTCTCAAATCACCTTATATGTGTGCCACACAAACGCTCGTACTTTTAGATATAAAACATCCCAGCTAAGTTTGATGGTGGATGAATTAGGTCCGGACATATTCGTTGTCACAGAAACGTGGCCCATTGAAGATGTAAACTGTTCTTTAATCATTGCAAGACACATTTGTATTAAAAGTGATAGTCATAAATCGCAAGGGAGAAGGCGTAATAATGTATGTTGGATGTCGTTTTCGTGTACAATCGGGCATGTCAGAAGGGCATGATAGTGGTACATGTGAGGTAGCTTGTTCCCAAATTAAAGCTAGAAGTGTGTTAGTGACTAGAAGGAGTATGCCCTTGCCCACGATGTCTTGTCGTCGAAATTGTCTCAAGTCAAATCTGTTCTTACAATGAGAATGATTGTTGCCTCATCATTGAAGGTTTCAATGCGCCACACATCGACTGGGAAGAGCTTACAACTCCAGGTGAATGTTTTGACAGCAGCCTGTTGTTGATGTGCACTTGTACAATGTACCGAAAATTCGGCCTATATTGACTAAGAACATGACCGGTCATTACTGGACCTTGTCCTTGCACACCACTGTGGTGATGTCACCGGCACTCAGTACTTCCTCCACTCTCAAAGTGATCATGTTGTACTGTACTTTAGGTTTTGAACAAATAATATACACTGTATTTGCCCCGCCCCGCCCAAGTACCTGGAGAACTAACATTCTGGCAATCACAGACTGTGCTTTCTCGACAAACTGTTTGGTCAATGAAGATTGGCTAACCGAAGACGACTGGGATAAATTTAAAGCCAGATTCGAGTCCGTAACATCACCAAACATCCCATGGTCAACATCTAGACTGTCACAGTGCCATCCATGGATTGATAAGGAAATTCGAAAGCTGATAAGGCGAAAGGAAACATTTCTAGGACTTTCTCTTGTCGACGGATCACGAATCATTTAAGTGTAAATACCGAAAAATCAGAAATATATGTCTAAAGACCATGGTCGTATCACCCACAGAAGACAGTTGGTATACGATAGCTTTACCTGCTCCAAACGATTGTTCTCGTACATTAAACGAAGTACAGAATGTAGTGATGGTATTCACCCATTACAGTCGCGCGAACACTCGGATAAACTAGTTGAATCAGATCTGGCCCAAGCTGAGACTTTACGAAACTATTTCAGCGGAGTCTACTCTACGAGTAGTGTTAACGATACCTCTCATAACCACACCACTGAGACGCTAGCTGCAGGATCTGTACGTGTGACTAAGGAAGCTGTTCTCTAATTGATCATTAACCTCAGACCTAGTGAGATACCGATTCCTGATAGTTTATAACCACGACCGCTACCATCTCTCGCGGACATTATTTCAGGGTCGCTCATGATGCTCTTCAACACGTCCCTTTCTTAAACTCGATTCTCTAAGGATTGGAAAGATGCTTCAGCTAGTTCTATGTTTAAAGATGTTCGGGGACAAATCGTATCTAACTACAGACCTATAATTTTACTCGGGAGAGCGGTCAAGCTATTTGAAGAGATAATTTGGGTTAAGCTACTAAGTCGCACACAATCATACGATTTGTTAACCCGTGAGCAACGCCGGTTTCGAAATAATCATTAATGCCTAAACAACTTACCCATAGAAAGAGGGGGTTGGACATCAACCCCAGACAATAATCAGTTTATCAATGCAATATTCATAGACTTTGGAAATGCATTTGGCAAGGCTTACTCAAACAAGTAGTCTCAACCTCATCAGTAAACATTTTCAAAAAGAAACCTAACCTTCATTGGGAATCGAATTGTGAGGAGTAATTCAGTTGGCCAACCTACTATGCTTCTTACTGAAACCGAAGCTGAACCGCGCTATTCGAATCCGGCGCTATGTCGGTCGGTCAGTCCGGGACGGAGTTGTCTTTTGGTGTTATTAAAGTGGGTTTGGGGTTGCATCGCATTAATTCATGTTAGGATATTCTAGAAGACCCGTCAGGCTTTTCTCTAGCTAAACTGAAGGCAACTGCAGAGGCTATTGAACTAAAGTTAAAATTTAATCTTAACTAACAAAAATTCAGAGATAAAAAAAGTTTGATTGATGTTGCTTTACGGGGACGTATGCTGTGTCTACTTGCCTCAGACTCCATGGACGATGTGAAAACGCTTTTAAAAATGGGTGTTGCGGCGGCCTTAGCAAGTAAAATCTTCTTCCAGCTCTTAGTTTCTCTAATAGATTTGTGCTCTGCGCCGACTCCATTTTTGTTATTCGCGGATGTTTTTAACACCAAACCAATATCGCTTTGTGAAGAAATGTTTGGATTTATGGAGGAAACAATCATCACTTTGAAGGATGTATGTTTGACGTCTTCTCATGGTTGTTGTAGGTACCCTTATTTGCTTCAGGAAGAAATACATTATTAAGAATGTGTAATGGTTCGTTTGATCACTTTTCCTCGAAATATATCTGTTCAATGTAGACCTACTTAGACGCCTGTCAAAGTCACAGAATACTGTTTTTTGCGGCCAAATTCAACTCTTCTTAACGCGTTTATTTCCATTAGATGAAAAGTCTGGACTAAATTTTATGAGCAACTTTAATTCAGAAAAAGATGTGCTGTACAACAAAAATCCCGACCCAAGTGCTTTCAAGCATCAGGTGTCGCACGATCATACATCTGATGATTTGGAAGAGGGGGAGATGACTGATTCATCTACTCCCTTAGAAGTGGATGCCGGTCTCTATGTCAAATTTTGGTCTCTTCAGGAGTTCTTTAAGTCTCCGGCTTTGTGTTACGAGAAAGCTAAGTGGATGCGTTTCACAAGTAGCACAGACACAGTGTTAGATGTGTTTTCGAGTATTAAACTAATGGCAATAGAAGAAGGTGATATTTGCTCTCAGAGTAGCAGCGGAACGTTTTCCAAGTACCTTACAAGCGAGAAAGTAAGTGTTCTATGCATATGATGCACTGTATCAGTAAGCTAGTAACAGAGACTTTGTTTCACAGTTACTACTTTTTAATGATTGTATAACATTTTCTCGCAAATAAATGAGATGTATTATTTCGTTAATATAGTGCAGCTTCCAAAATATTAGAACGTTGAGTGCAAAATTGAGCATCTGAACTCAGATTATCTCAACGACAATGAATTCTAAACGTCTTTTATTTTTTGTACTTACCAGATACTAGACTTGAGAAAGATTCAATAAATATTTCTTACGCTCCTGGTCATCGTTCTCACCGTAACTAACAAACTAATAGTTTGTTATCAGATGGTACCAGTGGGTTAGTCCGTTTTCATCGTGAATCATTAATTAGTCTATCAGATCTTGTTGGTTGTCTTGAAAGTCTTGATCGAGCACATAGGTCTCAGCTACAACCAAGCTCAATATATAGATGTCCCAGAAATAGCTCCTGAAAACATGTATGGAATGTTTTGTTATTCTTGAAAACAACATAGCCACACTAGCGTGCTCAGTGATATATTATTAGTTTATGTCACATAGGTATCTTCAATACTTACAAAGCTCTCCGTTACAGACCGTAAGGTTTTTTGAAGAGCGATCGAAATTTCTATAGCGTTCATATCGAAGAGCTATGTCATACAGGACGTGAATTCGACTAATCCATGTTAATGTATCATTTCCATCTGAAATCGATGCGATATTGGAAATATTTGCGTAGTCAGTCGCAATGACACAAATGTAATTTCTTGCTGTCCACCCCTAGATCTTGATATGAAAAATCATCCTGTACTCGCCGCTCTGGTGCATTGTGACGAAATCTCCCGATGCACACTTGTTTCTGGTCCTTACGTTGCTAATGATATTGTCTGATGACCACTTACCTGCTTTTTGTCCGGTCAGTAAGCAGTGAGTTTATATTTTATGCTGTTCGTGACTAATTCATTCTGACGGTGTCTGAACTTTCGTAATAATTTTATTTATTCTAGCTGCTAGATTTGCAACTTATGGATCCTAGTTTCCGGCGGTATATACTTGTTCAGCTACTAATCCTGTTTCAATATTTAACAACTACAGTTAAATTTAAGACGTAAGTCGAATAGTTTTCCTTCTCTTTTCCACGGTGTTTTGTGACATCCTTCAGTTTCTTAATCAATTTTCAATGCTATATTAAAAATTCCCATATTGTAAATCTAAACACTCAGTTAGTCAGCTACAACGTAGGACCAGGAACATATATGCGTCGGTCCAAGTTGCCACACCTCACTAGTACAACAAGATGAGCAAATTCATAGTAGTCAACTCAATGGTAGTAATGTATTGAAAAAAACTGTGTATAAGGATGTAGTACAGGAAGAAAGAATTAGTTCGTAGAAAAGAGCCTACACAAGGTTTTTGTACTTCTAAGGTACACTTTTCAATGACAGACATTGTCACAGAACCTCTCGGTCTACAGAGTCAAGTGCTGCTTTTAAGTCAAGAGAAACTATCATTGTTGGACGCCGATAAGCATGCCTGTGTTCTAAAATCTGACGAATGGCGAATATGTGGTCGATACAGCCACGATCAGGTCTGAAGCCAGCCTGATTTCCTCGTGTTTTTGCAGTTCACGAGTCTGATAATTATTGAGGCTTATATTTTAGACACTATACTAGTCAAACTAATCCCCCTATAGTTACCGTGGGATGATTTTAAGCAGTTCTTATATATTGGGACAATCAGTGGTTGTGATCAGTCAGATGGGACTACGTCCAACTTTCAGATTTGTGCTTAAATATTAGTCAAACTAATCGTTGAAATTGAACCACCATACTTAAAGACCTCTGAAGCCAATCCATCTGGACCGCCTGCTCTTCCTCGTTTTAGATTAGCTATAGCTTTTTGAACTTCAACTAAAATGGGGAACCTACTTCAATGTTCCATTCACACTGTCTGAAAATGGTGGGTAGTTTCAGAGTAGCTGAACTGCTCCTTAAAATTTTCCACCCGTCGTTCTAAACGTCTGGGCTGAGGGCGCAGATAAGTGTCGTCTTTTTCCAAGATAGTTTACTTACACTTGACTTCTTAATTCCATTTTCTTTTGTTAGTATGAAAATCTGTCTAGTGTTACCTACAACCGTTGTTTTTTCCATCTCTTTTGCTTTCATTGTCCACCACTATTCACTGTCATTCCTTAGACTTTTGGTTAACCTAGATCCGACTTGTTTTCGTTCTTCATTGTGTTCATAGCCTGATGAGATGAGTTTACGAGAATCTATCAGTGGAATAGACTTAGTGGAAATCCACTGGTTTTTCGTGACCCTTTGTTTTGAATCACTAATAGATGTGTCTGCTGTTTCCACATCTGTTCGTATATCTTTCCAAGTAACATTTGGGTCAGCCTTGTTTTCAGAAGTACCTAGGTGTGACCTCAGTTGTTCCGTTAATCTACTTGTAAATCTAAACAACACGTAAATAGATAATATTGTTTGCAATTACATCATCAGGCTTGACTGTTATGTAGTACTATATATATGCATATATAAATATACTAGACCGACCAAGTCAGTGATAACATTGAGAGAGATCATGTAAATAAACGCAACAATTAAAGATAAGAAATTGGTAGTGCGATGAATGGCGTACTATTTGCGATAAGAATATAAAAAGCTTTAATCAATATTTCACAATACAAAGTCAAAGACGTTGAAATAAGATGGAAAAGGCAGCGGCAATAGGTAATAGCAGACAATTGTTCAGACTCGTTGAGGAAACCGGAATTAGGAACCCGACCGTTAGCGAAACAATCTCAGAGAAAGATGGACATATTATTCATTCTCAATCCAGGAGATCGGATCGATGGGCAGAACACTTTAGGGATCAGTTCAGCTGGCCTTCAGCCACACTTCAGTTTCCCACGATCTCTAGTCAACCTGAATGGCAAGTTAATGTAGGTCCTCCGTCCCTTTACGAAGTTGAAAAGCCATCAGAAATCTGAAACGAGGGAGAGCAGCAGGCCCTGACAGGTTTACTCCTGAGATTTTTAAGGATGGTGGTTCAGTATTAGCAGTGAGATTAACTGAGGTCTTAGGTAGAATTTGGGAACTGAACGTAATCTCATCTGACTGGTCTCAATCACTGATTGTGCCAGTCTATAAGAAAGGACAAAAGTCCTCTTGTGACAGTCAGAGGAATTAGTTTGACTAATATAGTGTCTAAAATATTAGCTTCAATAATACTTCGACGCCCAATCAAAGCTCGTGAAGAGCAGATTAGAGAAAACCAGACCGGTTTTCGACCTGGACGTGGTTGTATAGACCAGATATTCACACTACGTCAGGTTCTAGAACACAGACACACATTCAGACGCCCCACAATGGTAGTATTTCTCGACCGTAAGGCGGCATTCGACTCTGTTGATCGTGAGGTTCTATGGCAGTGTTTGCCACTGAAAGGAGTACCAAAGAAGTACATTAACCTTATAAAGGCTCTCTACTCGAACACAACTGGTAGAGTGAGAGCTTACGGCGAACTGTCATCAGAATTGGTTACCTCAAGTGGTGTTCGTCAGGGCTGTCCACTCTCCCCATTCTTGTTCAACTTTGTGGTCGACGTACTTTTAGAGATAACACTCTCCTCATCTAAATTTCCAGGGGTTGAACTTCTACCGGGAGGTTCACTTGTTGACTTGGAATATGCTGATGACATAGTTTTATTTGGTGAAGACGCTGACAAAATGCAGAGTCTTCTGACCACTCTAAGCTACAATGCAAGCATGTTCGGGATGCGATTCTCTCCCTCGAAATGCAAAATGTTGCTTCAGGATTGGGTTACATCGACACCCGAACTAGTGATAGGGAGTGAAGTAGTTGAGTGTGTCGACCGCTTCACTTATCTTGGAAGTCTCATCGGCCCTTGTGGTCTGGTGTGTGACGAAATCTCAGCACGGATACAGAAGGCTCGACTAGCTTTTGCCAACTTGCGTCATTTATGGCGTAGGCGAGATATCCGTCTATCAACCAAAGGACGGGTTTACTGCGCAGCAGTTCGTCCTGTCCTACTTTATAGCAGTGAAACATGGCCGGTAAGAGTAGAGGATATTCGTAGATTACTAGTATTCGATCATAGGTGTCTTCAAAACATTGCTCGTATATCTTGGGACCATCGAGTAAGTAACACAGTTGTTGGGAAACGGGTACTAGGTAAGGATGGCAAATCAATTGATGAAGTAGTGAAACTTCATCAGTTGAGATGGCTGGGACACGTGTTACGTATGCTCAACTACCGACTGTCTGGACGTGCGATGTTCAGTGGTATAGGAGTAGGTTGGAAGAAAGCTAGGGTTGGCCAGACCAAATCATGACACAAGTCCATGAAGTCACTGACAAGTGGTCTGAGTCATGTCGGTAGGTGTAGACTACCTGGTTGGGGACCGCGAAATGATAGCAACCGATGGTTAGAGACCCTGAATGACATGGCTCAAAATCGTTTGCAATGGCTTAGGTGTATCCACTCTTTGTGTTCTCCCAAATTCTAATCTTCTGAATTCTTCATGTCCCTTTTTTTCTCTTTCCAAATTTATTTCACTGGATTATACTCTTTAAATAACAACTCCAAACCCTAATCTTCCCGATTACTGCTTATACTCTTGCTACCTCTACTACTACGGGATTTGAATCGACCATTGCATCTCTATGCTAATGTGATGTGGCAACTCGAACTGATGTACGTACGTACGAAGCTCTACGTTGTGACTGACTGACTGACTGAATCAAAAATTACTGAGATTACGTGATGAGAATTGTCCAAATAATTCAGTGAGTCAACCAGTTTCAACATAGAACCTGGTACGTATGTGCATCAGTTCAAGTTGTCATACTTTATTACACAGAGATGAAATTGTCAAGCCGAATCCTAGAGTAGTAGAGTTATTAGCAGTATCAGTGGTAATAGAGAAGATTAGGCATCGAAGATCCGATTCAAGAAAATATGAATTAGTAAAATAAAAACCCTGTTCACGTTTACTGTAATTCTTTGGTACACCTTTTAATGTCAAACATTACCGCAGAACCTCACTATCGACCGAGTCGAACTCCGCCTCTGTCTCGATGAATAGAACTGTCGTCAAATGCCGAAAAGTTTGTCTATATTCCAGATATTGCCTAAGGTGAATATTTGGTCTGCACATCTACGTTCAGGTCTAAAACCAGTCTGGTTTTCTCGGGTTCTCTTTTCATGGGTTCTAGCTAGACGTTAAAATATTGTTGAGGTCAGCATTTTATACACCATATTAGGTAAACTGATTCTTCTGTGATTGTAAAAAAAGAATTTTTGTCCTTTATAAACTGGGACGATCAGCGACCGTGACCAATCAAACGGGATCATGTTCAGTTCCCAGATTTTGGCTGAGATTTCAGTTAATCTAACTGCTAAAACTGGGCCAGTGTCTCTAAAAGCCTCAGAGGTCAGTCCATCAGACCTTGCTGCTCTCTCTCGCTTTAGATTACTTATGGCCTTTTCAAACTCGCTAAGAGTTGGAAGACTTACGTTAATTTGCCACTCAAGTTGCTTGGAGATAATGGGTAACTCAAGTGTGGCTGAAAACCAGTTGAAATGTTTCCTAAAGTGTTCTACTTATCGGTCTGATTTTCTGGAGTGTGAAAGGTAACCCTATTTTTTCCGAGATGGGTCTTTGTAAAGTATATCAATTTATCTTTGTCCGTTGTTCTACATAGAGATCGCTACTTTAAGTGGTTTTAGTTGTTTTACAAAAACGCTTTCCAGACATTGAATGGTTTCCTGGAACGGCGAAAATTTTCTTTAACGTTGTTTTTCATATGTATTATGTCTTGTGAGTTTGTTTTCATCTAAATGGTGTACGGGGTTCCTCAATTAAGATCGTTAGATTTGTTTTCATCCCGAGTATTTCAGTACATTTGTTATCTACCAACTAAAGTTGTCTTATGTTTACAACAGTCCTCCCTGGTTTATGTAATTGGCTAGTGTCAATAGAATAGGCGTATGAGTGTCCTAACTTATTTTTCGTTTCAAAATCCAAGAAAACTTTTCCCACAGTCTAGATGCTTGATTTTTGGTATCACGACCCGTCACTATGATCGATTCTTTTGTTTGTTATGCTTTATTTCATAAGTATTTTATTTCTTGTTAGTTTAATTCACTATAAAAGGCATCCTTTATAATAGATTACACTCTGATATCAGGTTTGGGTAATGTCTAGTTCGTATCTTAGTAATAATTAACGGTAAAAAAATTTACAAAGCCGTAACTCGTTTGCGATTGTGTTCTAGTTGATGTCCATTGTTCACAGAAATGTATTTCTTAATGATCAATCATTAGTTGTCAGGATTTTTTTCTCACTTATTAGGAATGGAAACAATCTTTATGAGTTTATTAAGCTGTTTGGTTACGATTTGACAATATACTAGCTCCAGTTTTTAGATGGGCATTTTCCTCAGCATAGAGTTGGTATAGTGTAAAATGAATTGTCAGTCAAAATCATATTAAACTCCTTTGCCAATTCATTTTTGTCCCTAAAAGGGTAACTTTGAAATTGTTACGCTATTGGCTGTTTTAAAGCGAACAATTCCTAAGGTCGATTTTGAACAAACTTTCTTGTTATTATACATTTGTTTACTTTCAGTAAGCATTTAATGTAATCATTCAGTAGCTGGTATTTTTCCCGTTTCCCCTAGAATTGACCAAGTACTTAGTGAGGATCAGCGCGCTTGGGTTAATCAAAGACATGAAGTAGTGTTACGACTGTTATCCTCTAATAGTCCAAACAATTCTTCGGGTGGTACGTTTGTTTCTACAGTAGAACGCATTCTGGAACGTGAAAGTTATTGGAATAAATGGAAGAACGATGGATGCCCTTCATTCGTACGAAATCCTGAAAAATCTAGGTTATCTGTTAGGCAAGTTCTACTTTTTGTGAGAAGTTATTTTGTTTGGGAAAGACGTTTGACTTATGGTAACTTCATGTTTGTTCTTGTAGGAAAAGGCATATAAACCCCTTAGTTACTCGTACTGGTCAGAAAGTTTATCGTTTTGGTAATCGAGAGCTAGATAAATTATGGAATGTATGTCCGGATAATTTAGCTGCTTGTCGGGACAAACGGCGAGTTTTCAATCCAGATCTTCATTCCTATTTTCAAGATGCTATCATGGAAATGGACCCAGCGGAAAAAGTTGAAGAGGAATACAAGTAATTTTTCATGATATAGCCTCAGTTTTTGAATTGATAATCTATTGTTCACTATTTATACTTTATATATTTAAATATTTCACGGTTATTTACACCAACAAAGCGGTGTTGGACTTGGTGGCAGTTTAATTTAGAAGAGGCATCAAAGAGAAGTTAATAAATTATGAAAATAAAAACCAATAATAGTAATTATTGGTAGTAAAGCACTAGAAACGCAAAGTCTGAGATCGGAGATAGAGAAGGTTCACATGACATTATCCACTATTTGTGGTATCTGTGCCGGTGGGGTACATTCCAAAAAATATTTTCTTACCTGTGTTTACAGAGTGCTTAGCTTTTAAACAAACATACAAACTATTATTAAGTCTGATGAAAGTAATTAAGTTTTCCTAAAATATCTAGAGCTCATAACCATATTCAAAGCTTTCATGATGATCCCAAGGGTAAAATGTACCGCTGCAATTCGGATTGAATGTTCTACAACCATAGGATATTAGTCTCAATGACTTATGGAGCCAGAGTTGTTCGGATATATTTGCAAACGCTGACGGTAGCACGTAAAAAAACTAATTGATTTGACTTCTTAATTTCACTGTAAGGACTTCTGTGAATATTTCATTTTGATCTTCACAGCCCCTTTAAAAATTCAAAAGACAGATTATGTCGCATAAAAAGAACGTAGTTTCAATAATTATTCAGCCTTCCAACATACTAACAGGGCATATATATAAGCAATGTATTTCTGTTGTTAGTGAAATTTTCTCAATAAATTAATGAAGTTAAGAAAATGCCAAACATTTTGTGTTTAGCTACCTTTTTACACTTACCTGAAGATGTACGAGATTTATTTCCTAGCAATCGTACGTTTTATGCATGTTTCAGATCGATTAATAAAGATGAATGGAGCTGGCGCGCTCTTCGTTTTCTTTCAAGAAAGTGTCCACATTTTTACATCAACTGGAACCCACCTGGACGACCTGTAAAGGACTATTTATCAGTTATTCTCACTGAGAAAATTCAATCTGAGGTTAGTTACCTTCAGACTACGTTTTAAGGAAAAAATTCACTTTTTGAAACTAATAGATGACTATATAATTCTTAACTGATATAATCCCCTCAAAGGTTAGTAGTTACAGTTATTTCCGTGATGAAGTTTATGCTTTTCGTCTGATTTTCATTGTCCTATTCAATGTGGATTGTTGTCTTTTTTTAAAAGACAATAAATTTTGAAGGACTAAAATGTGGGTTAGTTCGCTATATCCATGGAAGAATATTGAACATTTGTGAGTGAACTAGTTTATCTAACGTGTTTGTATTCATGTTTTCTCACATTCATCATGTTCGTATTAAGTTTGTCTATAAAATTGATTTAAAGAGATATAACTTTCTAAATCTATAAACTAAATTTCTTCTGACTTTGGTGTTTTACAATTTTAAAGTAAACTATCCAAACATTTTGATTGTCTCTTACTTCAAGAATACATTTATAGGTTGAAAGGGAAACTATCCTAGAACTATATTTTCCTATTGATCCTTGCAGTTTCTGTGATATTCTTGTAACCCAAAGTCATACACTGTTCCAACTCAGTTGACATTATGTTCAGTGTTGAACTGCATCTCCTGAAACACCAGTTTTTCATAAGCATTTTTCAGAAAGGTTCGAGCTCATCAGTCTTCTGTACTTGCATCGATATCTCATCACTGACCAATCATTTATGTTCATTCGATCAACATGATTTTTGAGTTTAATATCCTTATATCTACATTGATTTTCTCTTACAGTACCATTAAAAAGTGTGGTGATATGAACATATAAACGTTTGTCCCATGACCTACCTCAATACTGTCTTAAATGTGACTCATGCGTCAGGTACTGGTTTATGTACTTTGATCTACATTATTTCCGCAATAGCTTGTGATACCACTCGACTGATCAAACCAAAATTGGTGGAACTAGGGTTCAAATCTGTGACCTATTGACTGAAAGCGTCCTAAATCCCGACTGTTGCTGTTACTTTGACGTGGTGGTCGAGTTTGCCTATCGTGATGAAGCAATCGGGCTATACTGGCTGGAACGATTGTTCCTCAAGGTTCTACCATGTCAGATAGATGCACGTCCAGTTGCCCAACAGAGGGCATTGTTGTCAACATTTAATTAAATTGTAAGGTCACGAAAACCTCTCAGGTTTAGACATTAATTATACATGTAAACGTGTAAACGTGTTTGAACTGAAATAGTTTTAATTGTTCTCTTATCAGAAGAATCTCAACCTCAAGAAAACAACAAAATTTATCAAAAGTTTATCACGAAATAAAACTGACTCTTTTTTCAATAAAAACCATTTACATTATTTGAAATTGTATAATCGCGTTTCTTTAAATATAAACTACGTTTTTAACGTGACCTCAGTAAAATTTAATGTCGTTTCACCATAATGGATGACTTCCGGTGACTAGCGGTAACATTTTTTTATTTAGTCACCCATTATTAAAATAATTTATCTTTTTTACCGGTCTTTTTCTTTTTAGGAGGATAAAAAGGGTCCCACTATTAATGTTTCTGATTGTGACAATCGTCGTGGCTCTGATGGCAGTACTGGCGACTCCATACCCAATAAACAACCTAAACTGGAAGAATCAGTTGATTCAACAATACTAGATTCTACTGTAAAGTCTTCCAGCTTGTCACGTACCCGATCAGTTCCGAATACCAAGCAGTTACAGGAACATACCTTAACTAAAGGTCAAACAAATGCCAAGTCATATGGTAGCCCAATGAGAACTCGGTACCGTGATACATTAACAGCAAATGTTAGTTATCTGTTATATTTACTAACCATTCTCAATTTAATTAATACAGCATATTATTTAAGTTTATTAATTCATGAAATCTATTGAGTTCGTAACATTGTGAATTGACTCTTCCTGGAGCCTTTGCTCTTTTATGTGATTTATTACACAAACTATTCTATGGTAACTATTAAAAATTTGTAATCCTAAGGTTATGCTTGAATTTCAAGTGCAAATATGCGATTTTAAAGGACGTGTTTTAAGATGGTAGAAATTTCATTTTTAATATACAAGTAACTGGTAAAAATTGTCAATATGCATTACACGACATCGTTATATAGCCTCGAGTAACCGATTGTGACGTTCTGTGAAAATGTTTTCGTACTGATCCCTCATCAGTCAAATAGGCATATGTTTTCTCATTATGTATTTTGAATGACTTTTAAAATTCAATCCTCAAATCTCTTATTACATATTTCACTTTTGACTCCATTGACTTGGTTTCTAGTAACTGATATTTTAGAACTATTTCAAATCAGCCTTACTGGAATCCAACAAGGATTAAGAACTGGTTATCCATAATTCACTAATTACATCTGAATTGCTTAAGTCGATACTCAACACAAATTTAAATTTATGAACACTAAATAGTTGTTTCAAATGTTTCCTAAGGCAATTTAGCATTATACATTCGTGATCATTTACAAACAGAGTTTATTTTCTATATGCATACGTTAGAGACCGAAATTTCAATCTAAGTTGACTGATAATTTAACTGTGTTTATACCTTATTATGTGTATCAATCAGACTTCGAGGCATTTAAGTAATTTGGAGATGCGTTACTGTCATATCAGGTCTTATTCAGACTGAACTCTTTTACCAAGTATAATTTCTTTTATGATCGAAATCTGCAAATATATTCTCTATAGTTAGTAGCAACTAGATACGTTGTATTATCCTTTCACTCTTTATGTAGATTACTCGCTAACTGGTCGGAGAAATCACAGTGGTACGATAATAATTGTTTTAAGATAAAGTATTGTGTTTAGGTGATTATTTAATTATTTGGTGCCTTTGTGTGTGTTTTTAACACTAACATTTAAGATTTTTTATGTTTAGTAAATAACAAATAGCATATATTAGTAAAACTTGCTAAATAGTGTAGTAGTAGTAGTAGTAGTAGTTGTAGTATTACGCCTTGTTTTTATAGCGCTAAAATTCTTCAAGAATTTATTTTGTTACTTTTAACATTAATCTATAAATTGCTGACCGTAAAGAAAAAAAAACAAGCATTTCTGTTACTGTATCAAAAATACCACTTTCATGTTTTGTGATAAACAAACGTCAGTTTATTGTATCTGGGAATGTTTGCATAACATTAAGTTATTTTGAATGTAATATTATAGAGGCTTATAAAAAAGAACTTTAATAATAAAAAAATATTATTATTCATCATCTATATATTAGTTGACTTTTAATGAAAATTATTTCGTGGTTAAGAATTTCTTTATTCCTCATGCTGTACGTTTAATTGTTACTTTAAATCAGTGTGACTGTAAACTTGATCAGTCGATCAATTAAGTGGTGATATTTCTTTATCAGGCATTTAATATGTCCAAAAATCAATGGTTTATTGATTGCATAGCTTTGTAGTAAGTAGTATTAGTTTCACAGTAATTTTTCCAGAGATACTGTTGGCCTGTGCTTTAAATACCGTAAGAATCTGTGATTAAGAAAGTAATGAATGTTTTGCGCTTGATTTTTATAAGATTATAACATTACATAAATAAATTTGTTCAGTTGTCTTAGGATTTCATGAAAACCTTCCTTAGTGTATAGTCATAAATAATGTACATGTTTAACCTGAAGTGGTTTGGTCTTATTTAGTCCTCTCCTGTATACGGAATTTTCTTGTGTTCTGGTATGTTTTCCGATTATATGTGCGCAGCCAAGGTTCATGAGAAACGATAGTGTTTCATCCATCATAAATTAAAAATATAGATTTATCACACTTGTGTTAACGTTTGTCCCTTACAATTTAACTTTAACTTGTCTAATATATGTTAAGGAAATGTCGGTTCTTAATTTCACCTGGCTAACTGCACCGTAGATCATTTACGATCAGATGACTAGTGACTATTTTAAGTATAAGTCTTGCAATCTAAATGATAAAAATAACTTAATTTGAAGTGCAACAATTAACTAATTATAAGTAAGCTAGCAAGTAGCCAAAAAGAAAGAGACACCGAAGTGTGTGAAAAATTATTAGTTGTCAATGAAAAATGTATCCAGATAACATGGCATAACCATCATAGAAACATTATAATTCTCTATAACTAAGATTGTACTTTGCTCATTTTTCGTTTCATCTGTTGTGGAAATCAATTATATATATATATATATATATATATATATATATATATATATATATATATATATATAACTTAAGCTACTTGATCATGAGTATATCTCAGATTCAGTGGTAATAAGATTGATTCTCCACATTTTTTTCTTACTTTGGTTCGATAATGATAGTTCATTGAACAATGTCTTTCTGTTTGTAAGTAATATCTGCTTTGTCCATTTCCCGAGAATTATTACCATTTAGCGTTCGAGTGATATCTCTTATAGATAATGATAGATGTCGTTATTTCTTCGTTGTTGTCGTTCAAATTCTTGCATTAATTAGCTGCAGTAGAGCTAAAAAGATCAACGTTCAATTACTACTATGAAATTACTCTTTACCTCAAAATGAAACGAAATGCCTATCTAGACTATAGTTTTACAACTGGACAAATTTCTTAGCTTTTTCGTGTAGTTTATATGCACAACTAGTTACAGTCTACTAGAACTGAAGGTAGACAATAAAATTTAAAACCATTTGCTTCATGTAAAGTTTCTAGTTGATTCTTTTTAGAGTATAGTCCTTTCTGATACGAGTATTACTTAAAATCTTACTTTTTTAGTCTTTTCATGAAATATGCATAGCGGTTAACTGACTAGTTACTTTAAGCTCAACAACAATAAAAAAACCTTGTCAATTATGTGAAGCTACATTATCATACAATATTCGGGTAATTATTCTTCGATAATCAATATCGATTACACAGTGATAATTGAAAGTGTTCTTAAAGTACAACTCTTATGAATATTCTTGTTTTTATAACAGCAAACGTTTACTTACGCGCTTTATTTGTAAAAAGACATTAAGATTTTGATATGATATCAGGCGAATCGATCATTTAACCTGTTTAGTATGCTTCATGTGCTATCCGCTAATTTTTAGACTAACCTAATGGAATTTACTAAATCACACATAAAATAACTAGTTAAATGTCTACTAGTTTTACGTACTATGTTGAATCACCATTCTTTCAATTGTTCATTTGTGTCAGCTTTATTCAGTTCACAGAAAAAAAAGCATAGTGAGTATTAATCTCTGAGTTTACATTTGATTCAAAGCCATATTAACTAATGTTTTCTAAGCAAGATACATAATATATTCTAGTCGAATGAACTAAACATACTCAAAAAGACGTGATATAGGTGTACTCTTATTTTATTTATTCTTTTTTAAGTTACGAATTGACGAAAGCGTATTTTAATCGTTTATTTTCAGTTCTACATAATTTAATGACATATTCTCATGTATATTTCTTCTCTCTATTTGTCAAAACAACTTTTCAGGATGGAGTTGATACAGACTCAGGGAGTGATAATGATGCCAACGGTGAAAATGATAGTGAATCTGATTCCATTACTGAATAACTGTGTGCATCAGAACATTGTGTTTGTAATTATAGATCAAAATTTTGTTTCAACATTTATAAGTAGTATATGTAGCTATGCAAAAATAAATTTTTTGTTTCGCTTCTTTTTTTTAATTCCCTCGTGTTTTTATAAACTTGTGTCTTTATTTTTCCATCTATTCACGCCTAGAAACAGCCATTGTGAATATTTTTCATGTTTGTGAATAAATGTGTATATTTATCAACAATGTTTTAATTTGCTTGTTTGTTTTCAAGACATGTTATGGCTGGCTATAATTCTTTTTCATTGCGTAATTTTTACAAACATTAACAGTTCATACTTAATTATATACATCATCTCAGTACCACTTATGAAAGATGAGGGCAAAAAAATCAGATCTATTCGCTTCTGCGATGAGCTGTTACATGATTTCTTTCAGAAGTACCATCATGCAATTCAACCTGATGCGATATGTACAAGTAATTCTAATCAGTTTGTGACTCACATAAGTGTATTTAATTTATTATTTGAACTGTTCGCCACTAGTGTTTTAATCTTTCTTTGATTGATTAAAATACTTGTGTGCTGCACACGTTACACCTGATTATAAGTATTACCCCAACCAGCTCAAGGTTATCTTTTTCGTTAAATTATTCAGCCTATCTACATTGAAAGGCTTGTTGTTCGACATTCTGTACCATTTAAAGAACTGGTTAGGTATCATTGAGATTGGAAGTAGGCACTTTTCCGTTGTAACAATTCATAGTATATTGATTACTTGGCGGTGAATTTTTACAGTGGACTCGACTGGTGGTTGGTAGCCCTTACTTACTTTACTTAAGCCTGTTACTCATAATGGAGCATAGGCAGCCGATCAGCATTCTCCAACCCACTCTGTCCTGGGCCTTCTTTTCTAGTTCCACCCAATTCTTGTTCATTTTTCTCATGTCTATTTCCATTTCCCGGCGTAATGTGTTCTTTGGTCTTCCTCTCTTCCTTTGGCCTTGAGGATTCCATGTGAGGGCTTGTCTTGTGACGCAGTTGGATGCTTTCCTAATTGTGTGTCCTATCCACTTCCAGCTATGGGATCTGGTTTGTTCTATCCTACAGTAGGTTGTTGCTAATAGTGTCTGGCCAACGGATCCGAAGTATTTTGCGTAACCAGCTGTTTACAAACACTTGTATCTTCTGGATGATGGCTTTCGTAGTTCTCCAGGTTTCCGCCCCGTACAGTAGAACTGTCTTGACATTTGTATTGAAAATCCTGACGTTGGTGTTGGTTGACAGTTGTTTTGAGTTCCAGATGTTCTTCAGTTATAAATATACTGCTCTTGCTTTTCCGATCCGCGCCTTCACATATGCATCAGATCCATCGTGTTTATCAATGATGCTGCTCAAATATGTAAAGGTTTTTACATCTTCCAAATCTTCTCCGTCAATTGTGATTGGATTGGTGCATGCTGTGTTGTATCGGAGAATCTTGCTTTTCCCTTTGTATATATTGAGATCTACTGCTGCTACACTGGTCGTCTCCTGCATTTGTTGCTGCGTTTGGGATGGAAGGGCCAGATCATCTGCGAAGTCTAGATCGTCCAACTGCATCCTAGCTGTCCACTGTATCCCGTGCTTCCCTTCAGATGTTGACGTCCTCATGATCCATTCGACCACCAGGAGAAAGAGAAAGGGTGAGAGTAAGCAACCTTGCCTGACACCGATCTTTACTTCGAACGAGTCTGACAATTGTCCCCCATGCACGATTTTGCAGTTTTATCCAACATAAAAATTCCGTATGATATTGACTATATTCTGAGGCACGCCGTAGTGTCCAAGAAGCTTCCATAGTGTTGTTCTGTTCACGCTATCAAATGCTTTTTCGTAGTTAATGAAGTTGATGTAGAGTGATGAATTCCATTCAATTGATTGTCCCAAAATGATCCGTAGATTTGCGATTTGGTCTGTACACGATCTATCCTCACGGAATCCTGCTTGTTGGTCTCGAAGTTGGCCGTCTACGGAGTCCTTCATCCTGTTTAGCAATACCCTGTTGAAGACTTCCCGGTATTGAGAGAAGAGTGATGCCCCTGTAATTATCACAGTTGCTGAGACCGCCTTTCTTTGGTATTTTAACCAGATGTCCTTCTTTCCAGTCTGTTGGTACTTGTTCCTCATCCCAAATCTTAGTGAAGAGAATGTGGAGTATCTTTGTAGTTACTGCTACATCTGCTTTCAGTGCCTCTGCTAGAATGTTGTCTGGTCCCGCTGCTTTGCCACTCTTGATTTTTTTGATGGCCATGCTAATCTCTTCATTTGTTGGTGGGTCAACATCGGTTGGGAGGTCCGTGGGTGCTGCTTCGATGTTGGGTGGGTTCAGTGGAGCTGGTCGATTCAACAGTTCTTTGAAGTGTTCTACCCACCTGTTTTGTTGCTCTTCAATGTTGGTGATTACCTTGCCTTCCTTGCTTTTCACTGGTCGTTCTGGTTTGCGGCGATTTCCAGAGAGTTCCTTTGTTTTGTCATACAGTTGTCTCATGTTTCCTTCTCTTGCAGCCTTTTCTGCCGTCATTGCTAGATCTTCCACATATTTACGTTTGTCGGTCCTGTTGCTCCTCTTCACTTGCTTGTTTACTTCTGTGTATTCAGCTTGTGCCTTGGCTTTTTCTGCTCTTGTTAGACTGGTATTGAGTGCTGCCCTCTTGTTCCTTCTTTCTTGAATCTTATCCAGTGTATCAACAGTGATCCATTCCTTGTGATGGTGGTTCTTGTGACCCAGGACCTCATGACATGTTTCTTCTCCATTGAGTAGATCATGAAAGGCCTGGAATCTATTGCTGAGGGATACCTCGAATTTGTTGAGTTTGTCAGTATCCCGAAGAAATGCCGTATTAAAACTTTGTGATATTGTCTGCCCCATTGTCCAGTGCTTCTTGAGTTTCAATTTCATCTTGGCGACTAGCAAGTGATGATCTGAGGTTATATCAGCTTTTTCCTTGGTTGTCGCGTCCTTCACCGTCCTCCTGAACTTTTTGTTGATGCAGATATGGTTGATTTAGTTTTGTGTAGTGTGGTCCGGTGAAGTCCATGTGGCTTTGTGAATGTGTTTGCGTGGGAATATAGTACCGCCTATGACCAGTTTATTGAAGGCACATAGGTTTACGAATCTCTCACCATTTTCGTTCCTTTCTCCCAGTCCGTGTCGTCCCATGATGTCTTCATATCCGGTGTTGTCCATTCGAACCTTGGCATTGAAATCTCCCATCAGAATGGTCAGGTCCTTTGTTGGGCACTTCTCGACGATTGACTGCAGCCTATCGTAGAATTGACCTTTAGCGTCTTCATTGTAGCCGTTGGTAGGTGCATAGCATTGGATGATGTTCATTGAAATGCCCTCTTTCTTTGTTTTGAATGAGGCTTTGATGATCCTTGGTCCATGAGATTCCCATCCTATAAGTGCATTTTGTGCTTGTTTGGACAGCATCAATGCACCTTCTTGTGTATGTGGGGCATTTTCTTCATGGCCAGAGTATAACAGAAGTTCCCCTGAAGCTAGTCGTTGTTGTCCAACTTGCGTCTAATGTGTTTCACCTCTAGGTTGTATCTTCTCATTTCTGCAGCAATTTGGAAGGCTCTCCCGGCGTCCCACATTGTAAGAACATTCCATGTACCTAAACAAATGGTTGATCTGGTTGTCAGAAGGGACATCGGCCTCGTAACTCCCGAAGGAATTCGGCTTTCATCATGAGGGGTCATAGTTCTTCTCAATGAAGACCTTCTGACTCCCAGGGCAGAGTTTGAAAGGCTTGAATAATTTTTTCTGGTTAGCGTTTTTTTAGCGAGTTAGTTTTCTACAGGATGGGGACGCTAACCCCATGCCCAACCCTCCTCCTTTATCCGGGCTTGGGACTTGCAGTAGCCCCCGGAGGGACTCCTGGCGGAGTTGGTAGCACTATTAACGCGAAAAAGAAACTTCCATTAACAGTCGTAGTTCTCAGCAATATCAATAAGTCTTTGGAGGTCTTTTATGGAAGTTGTTACATCAGTGTCCTATGGAAATTTTATCAACTGTATTCTACTTTGTGTTCATCATAATGTAAATTTGATAAGTCGTTGATGATTTATTCTGAAAGATTATTACCTATAAATTTGTTTATTTAATGTTCGCTTACTCATTGTCTGCAGTCTAAATGACATACTGGATGTGTTCTACCGAGATTGTTACCAAACATGTGAGTGTAGGAACTCTCCTAATCATATGTTTGTATACCACGGGTATTGTGTTTATTGAAATAGAAGATATCTTTTATTACTGTGTTCTTATTTCAACGAACTAAAGAAATGCTAGGTTTCCTAGTCTTGCTTAGAAGCCTGCCTTCTCGTCTACAACGTTGCCAACAAGGACAAATGTAGTTTTATTAGGCTCCTGCCTGAACTATCCCAACATTAAACATGTACATATTATTAGTGTTAACGATTATTCAGTGGTACAAAACTTAGATTCTCTTGTTAAAACATGAAGTCCGACTAATCAGTAATGTCGAAACTTGTTTATCTGGATCACGAAAATCCCAAAAGCACCCAAGTTTCAATATTTACCCGTTGTATACGTAGGATCTGATAACATTTGGTGTGAAGCGTGATGATGGGTTTACACAATGATTGGACAGTTTTGGGTATCCAGAGAAGAGAAGTTAAAGACAGTTGGGATAAGGTGTAGATCCACTCGTATGTCATATTGAATTTGTTGGAGGGGACTAATTACAAATATGGCGTTCAATGAGGATCAAGTTTCGACAAACTATCTCGGAACATCTACAGTTATAGTGGCCCAAGATTACTTGCGAGAAGTACTAACATTGCATGCAGTAAGGTGAGAACTAATACTCTGTGATGTGCTCCCACTGTTACAGGTCACTAGAAAGTGCAGTAATTCCTGTGTGATAACTTTAGGTGTATCATTTCGATAAATGTTGTTTCAAAATCCTTATACCTTTAATCGATGATCTACTAACTTGAGTTTAAGAAAACTGGATCTTAAGGAATTAGATACCTTTGACCACCGATCATCCATCATCAAGTACTAACTCTCTTCAAAGTTCTATTATATGGGAATTTTCGGTGCTCTATTCCTCTCGTTCGTACTGGGAGTCCTAGTTCACTAAAATCATTCTGAAAAAACCTATCATATATCTTTACTACTAATTTCTAGGATACACTGTGTTCATGAGTAAATTAGAAGTAAGCTAATAT